TTTAAACATTCGAAAACAGCAATATCATGTACTCAACATATCACTGAAATCATTAATATGAATTTCACTTAAACCATTAATAACAGTCACTCTCTATAACATTTCAAAAATAACCAATCAAATATTTTGGACTCAAATTTAGAAAGGTAGCAGTTTGTAAAGGCATTCTAGCATAATTGCCAATTTAATATGTATAGAAGAACTCTTATAAAAATTCAAAAATATGGAATTATCACAATTTATGGGATATCAATCTACAAATAAACATTTCACAACAATACTATAATCAATTGCAAAAATGTCAATTTTTTTAAATAATAAGGCAGTCATTTGCACATGAATTTTACAATGTCTAAATATTCAAAACAGTAGAAAGAAATATCACAATTTTACTAAAAGCAGAAATATCACATTTATTTCTAACAATAAACAAGAAAAATAAATAAATTTATTTTTCTAATTTACAGCATTCAAAATTTCTAACATAGATAAAATATCACAATTTTTATTAGGATTATTTTTCAAGATAATGAGGTCACGTGCGCATAAAATTTATCGCGTCTAAAATTCATGATAATAAGCAGAAATAATTATTTCATTTCATTTTTAAAAAGAATGGATTATTTTTTGAGACAATGGGGTCACTTACACACAAAACTTATAAAATAAAGATCCTGAATGGAAATATCACTATTTATTAAAAAACAGACTATTTTTCAGGAAGATGATGTCACTTACTCACAAATATTTGAGAGGGAGCTTCCGATAAAAATTCGATTCGAGAGAGGAGTTCACTGTGTTTCGACCAGAGAGAGAGAGAGATCTCAAAATTTTCTAGGGTGGGAGTGCTCACCTCCCCTATTTAAATTCTTATAACGTATTATTATATTATTTTATTACGCTCTACCTCATACTTGAGGTGTCGCATTAAGAGTCTGCTTTTAACATACGAAAACCACGTCCACTAAAGGACGTGGCAAGCAGCAGCAGGCAAAAGCAGCAGCAAGCAAAAGTTTAAACCAAGTAAAAACTTTTGAAAATAGTGATGGTCCCCAAGGACCATCATACTCAAACAAACCATCACCTATTTAAAAGCATATTTTCTCCTTTTTTTTTTTTTTTTTTAAAAAAATTTTAGGATTGTTTCAAGTATTAATTACTTGTGAAAGTTATACTAACATAGAATTTAATCAATTATAATTATTGAATTGAAAATTTTGAGTTTGTTACTAAATAATAAAAGGGAAAGTATGCAATAAAATCGTTTATCTTTGGAATAAAAGGTCACAATCATCCTCTACCATCAATGCTCAAATACACTCTCCTTGCTTACCTTTAGCAAAAAAAAAACAAAAAAGTACACTATCTTAAATTTGGACACGATTGCTATGTGTCAATGTAGAAATGAGTCACCTCTTAAAAATCTATTTTTGAGATGGATTTTTGGACCTAATTTTTAGATCATGAATATGAAAAAATAAATAAGTCTTGAAAATTAAAAATATTAACTTTATTAAGAAAACATTTGGACCGTTAGTTTCAATTGTTTTTAGATAGACCACGTATTTGCATTCATCTTTAAGATGAAAGCTTTATACTTCGGGGATCGCAAATGTAGAAATACGGTCTCGCCGCATGAATCAATTTCCCTCAAATTTTGTGCGAAGAAATGTTGCAGTCTCACTTTCACATTTGAAAGAGAGATAGAGATTGTGACCATCTTGTAATTTAAATAAATAATGTACAAGCTCACCTTTTAAATAAATGGCATCTGTCCTTTGGGTTGGCATATAATATTACTTAGTGTTATCAGATTTGCTTTGGAGTCTGCATTGGTTTGGAGAGAAAAATGAAACAATTTGGTGCTTCAGCCGATTCAAGGGAAGACTTCAATTTTTTTTTAAATTTTAATATAAATAAATTAGATATATATATATAAAATATATACAAATAATGGGAAAATGAAAAATATTTTTATATAGCTATTTCTTTGGTAGCTGAAGTAGACCCGAAGCAGACACGAATCTGACCGAAGCAACAACTTCAGGTTTTGCTTCGCTTCGGTTTATGCCTAAATCCAAAAGCTTCGGCCTCTTTGACTAAAGCGAAGTGAATTTGATAACACTCATATTACCATAAAAAACATCGGTATATGCTATATTGGTGTATCCATGCCCCATATGTCTATAAATTAATTATTAATACCCAAGTCTTAGTCCATTTCTTATTTTGGTGAGGTTTATATAAGGTGCCCTTTGTAAGATGTACCAATCGAAAACGATTCACAAATCCATTTTAATATTAGTTATGAAATTTTGAATAAATAAAATAGATATATCGAGCATATTTATAAACACTTTAAAATCTAGAAAACAGACAACTTGTTAAGAGACGAACTATTTTTAGACTAAAGATTTTCATTCTTCTCATCAGGTTGAGATGATCAATTAGAGGGAATGTAGCCCGTCATTCTTCTCATCAGGTTGAGATGATCAATTAGAGGGAATGTAGCCCTATTCTATTACATTCTATGAAGGATTTTCCAGTACGAAATTTTTGAAACAACTTAAGAATATTCTCAAGAGAAAATTTTTTGATTTTTGGGTTCCAATACTTAGGTTTCACCTTTCCAAACTTTCACAGCTCTATTCAATATTAAGATATTATGTTTTTCAAGTACATAAAAGGTTCCAATATCTCCCTTTTCTCGCTCCTCTCTCATCCCCATTTCTTCCACTCCTCTGCAACTCCTCATCCAAGAAAGACGCAAAAGCAAAATAAAGATGGCGACGGCTGAGGTTGAAGCAGTGGATTTCGAACCAGAGGATGACGATCTCATGGACGAGGACGCACAAATAGAGGTTGAGGCCCCCTCTGCTCCTAAGCTCAAATCCACCATCACAGGTGGTTCCTCGCGTTTCCCCGAGCTGATTGCTCAGAAGAAGAAGGGACGGGGTTTCAGAGAAGAGACTAGTGAAGAGAGAAACAACCGCTTTGCTGCTCAAGAGTTTGAGTCCCTTGACTTGGGCAGAGGGGTTGGTCCTCAGAGATGTAAGCTCCCTCTAAATATCCATCTCTGTTGCTTTTGTATTTGTATTCGTGTATTCTTCATGTTTAGGGTTTCATTTATGGTGAATTTTTGTGGAAATCCTGGATGTTGCTTGCTGGTTTGGATTTGATGTTTGAAGTTTTTGGTAGTTTCAGGGTTGGGGTTCGAGTGATAGTGTAGTGAAAAAATTGCAGCTACGGTTTGACAGGGTCGAACATTTTATCTATATTGGATTGACTGCCGTCTGAATGTTCAGGTTATGGATGTTTATGTTTTGGAATGGTATATTGGCTTATTTTGTATGGGAAGAAGGAAAACATTTGGGTTTGTGAATATTTTGGTTTCCCTGTGAATTGACTTCTGTTATTTCATAATTCATCATTAGGACTTTCTGTCAACTTATTCACTGAAACCAGTTAGAAGAAATTGTGTCATATTGGTTTGCGCTTGGTGATTGTCCATTGAATAGTACTGTTCTTTGGGTTTTGGTCCCTATGAGAGAAAATGTACGAGGAACCAAATTTTTTGCTTTCCTTATGGAAGTAACAATTCCGGCAATTAGTTGCCCTCTAGATCTGTTTCTTAGCTGTTAATGCCCAACTGAGGTGGCTGCAGGCTGCAACTTGAATTGTTGTTTCCATATTCGAGAATGGGGTACAAGCCATTGGTTGATCCATGAAGACTATAACTGCAAAGCAATGTTCTGTTACTGGGCTCGGGTTCGGGACTCCACCCCTGCCCTAGCCTAGTAACTCAGTTGTGGACTTGCCGGAGTCTTGTACGACCCCAAAAGGGGTTAAAAATTGAAAATAAAATATAACATTTTGCTAACTGATTTGTAGACATCCCAAAATGGACCATAGTTTTTCTTTTATTTTCGTACGAGCACTTGACCTATGGGCTGCCTTTACTCACCTCTCGTGAGTTTTTGTAGTTGTTATGTGTGTGTGTGTGTGTGTCTATATATATATATATGTATATATTTATTTATATATAAGGGAAAGTATATAATGAGAACATTTACCTTTGGTACAAGGTGGTCACAATTAATCTTGACCATTGGATGTGAAATTAGGTGGCTGCATTTATTTCATTGACCAAGCTCAAAGTTCAAAATAATTTTTCTCAAACTTTAGGACACACTCATGCTATCAGATTTCACATCGGACGGCTGTAAGTAATTGTAACCTCCCTGTACCAAATGTAAATGGTCATATTAATATAAGGTTAACTTCATAAAAGAAAAAATAATAAAAAAGGTAAAAAAGAAAAAGAAGTTATAAAAGGCATTAAAAGTCTACAAAAGATGGAAAAAATATGGACTATGGAAGAATTTGATTAATAACTTGAAATATTTCAGAAAAAGGGAAAAATAAGAATGGGGCTTATAATAAGAAATTTCGCAAATCTTGATAAAAGAGAAACTATATAGAAATACATTTTTACAATAATAATTTTGTAAAAGTCCATTCATGCAACATGTAGTAGTATTAATTTATAGAAAGAATAGAATTTCTATAACCCTGAGTTTGTACACGAAAACTTGCCTTGGCACCCTGCCAAGGCCGAGTTACTCGGTCTTCGACTCAGCCAAGTCTTGGAACACTGCTGGAAAGTAGCTCACATTCGAAGTATATACTAAGAAATCCAATTTCTTTAACATAAAATACACTGATATTTTGAATAAATTATTTCTCAATCTTTCAGTTTTCAAAATTGGTATGATAGTACCATAATTGTCTCACTCAGTGACTAAAAATGCAGTGACTCAGGCTTGGACCCAATGTATTTCTCAGAGAGACTTGCTAAGTCAGACTGCCAGCTCGACCGAGTCTGTGGCTGACTCAGGCTCGGACCTGGTGAGTCAGAGCCCAAGTCCTGGCTTTTAAATTTTAATCATTGTACTGGTCATAACATATGTACCTCCATTCTCGTGGTCATTTCAAAGTAATTTAGTGAGAAACAACTATTTATTTTTCCAAACTGTTTACTTTTGTAGATATTATTGGACTGCTGAGTAACGATAAATCATGATGAACAAAGCCGAATTGAACTTTATGAAAATTTAACTGAAGGATAAGCATAGGATCCACATGATACGTATGTTGTGCATTGTACAAGCAGGCCATGCGTCGTCCATGCCCGAGATAGACTTTGGAGTTGAACTGTTCTATTGAGAGGTGAGGCATTCAGGTGGTAAACCAGTTCGCTCTCCGCCACCTATCTTGAGAATGGATGCTGAATTGTCTCTGGCATAGTGTATTTATATCTTCACACATTGAAAATAAAATAAATTCAAATACATATACTCTGGAGTAACTGAATAAAATAACAAGACATTATTCTTTAACAAAATCATGCTGAGAATTACAAAGAAAAAGATATAGAGCATACCTTTTATTTTATCAAAGGACCACATAGCCATGTCTTTTGATCCACTATTATATAGTTTACAAGGAAAGTGACCGAGAGATCATTGATTATGAGTTCTTAGCTTTTCTTATAATGAAAAGAAAAACTAACTAATTGTGTTATGGACTCCGTATATATATTATGAGGAAGTGCTGAAAATACATGGCAAGCCTAGTTGCCATTATTTTCTGTTGAATATATTTCTTGGTTGAATAACTTGTGCTTGTGGACATTTTATTAATTTGTTTTGTTTGCATAATGTCTAGAAGTGTTGAAATTGATCTATTGTGGAGCTTATTGATTAGATATGCTTCTTGTATAATCTGAAACTCTTTGTTCCTGTCCATGGCTGTTCCGTATATTTTACACACTCATCTTATGAATCAATGAGAAGTTTACTCACATTCTTTAATGTGCATAGCTATTGAAGGATGGATCATATTAGTTACTGGAGTGCATGAAGAGGCACAAGAGGACGATCTACACGCAACTTTTGGTGAATTTGGGGAGATAAAGAATTTGCATCTTAATCTTGATCGTCGGACTGGGTTTGTGAAGGTTAGGAATTTTCATGTGCCTTCTGTTATTGGGTAGCATTAATTGTTGTCCTCTTTAATCGTTCGTTATAATTGAATGCTTGACTTGCGAATGCAAGATACTATCTCATGTGTTAGGATTAAATCAATGCGACTTCATTTATTCAAGTGATTTATCATGTGACCAATTTGGTTGACAGACTCATGTTTTGTTACTCCAAGGGCTTCACATCATCCTTATAATGTTTTATCTTTATATTGGTTAGATTTAGGAAATTGGTGGTTTATGCATTGGTTTGCTTTGATGAATCTGTTACTTATTAGCTTCTAATCTTCCTTATAAATCTTTGGTATGAATAATTTGGATGGAGTTTACTCCAATATAGCATGTATGATATATTGAATTGCATTGTAGATTAAGTGGAAGTGGGAGAATATCTTGGTGGTTTTTGTAAAGGTAAAATGAATTTGATGCTGCAGTGATCGCACTGTGCACATTGATGTAATGACTAGAGCTATATATTAGATCAAGGAAATCCAAGTTTTACAATTCATCTGGTGTTTTATGACGTTGAATGGAGCATTTTCTTTGTGTTAGTGAATGTTCTAGAAAATGGATTGTGGGGTGGATCACCCACTAGTTGATCCTGTCCAAATTGGCAATCTGACAGACAAAATAAAGAAGGCGAATATATATATATATATATATATATATATATATATATATATAGTA